CACCCAAGGATATATTTTATTGATTTTTAGAGAGAGAGGGAAGGAGAGAGAGAAAGAAACATCAATGTGAAAGAGAAATATCAATCAGTTGCCTCCCATATGCGCACCAACCGGGGATGGAACCTGCACTAGGTATGTGTCCTGACTGATAATCAAACTCTCAACCTTTTGGTGTTTGGGAAGATGTTCCAACCAACTGAGCCACCAGCCAGGGCATAATACTATTTGAATTTTTAAAACTATGCACATGGCCTTAGCTGGCTTGGCTCAGTGGATAGAGCGTCAGCCTGCAGACTGAAGGGTCCTGGGTTTGATTCTGGCCAAGCCTGGGTTGCGAGCTTGATCCCCAGTGGAGGGTGTGCAGGAGGCAGCCGATCAATGATTGTCTCTCATCATTGATATTTCTATCTCTCTCTCTCCCTTTCTTTTCCTCTCTGAAATCAATAAAAATGTATTTCAAAAAAAGTAGTTTAAAAAAACAAACACACACTTGCACATGTTCCCAGTAGTCCCACTTCTAGGAGTATATCCCAAGACATTAGAAACATCAATCAGAAAGAATATATGCACCCCTATGTTCATAGCAGCACAATTTATAATACTAGCTAAGATTTGGAAACAGCCTAAGTGCCCATCAGCAAATGAGTGGATTAAAAAACTGTGGTACATCTACACAATGGCATACTACACCTGCAGTAAAAAAGAATTCTTACCATTTGCAACAGCATGGATGGACCTGGAGAGCATTATGCTAAGCAAAATAAGCCCGTCAGAGAAAGATGAGTATCACATGATCTCATTCATTTGTGGAATATAATGAACAACATAAACTGATGAACAAAAATAGATCCAGAGACATAGAAGCATCAAACACTGTCAAACCTCAAAGGAAAGGCAGGGGAAGGTGGGAGGAGGGCGGTAAGCGATCAACCAAAAGACTTGCATGCATGCATATAAGCATAACTAACAGACACAGACAATAAGGGGGTGAGGGCATGTGCTGGGAGGTGGGAGCAGGCTGGGAGAAGTCAATGGGGGGAAAAGGAGACATGTAATACTTTCAACAATAAAGAATTTTTAAAAAAGGATCAAATGAAAAAAACATGTTAACATTAGGGGAAACTGGGAAGAGGGCATACGGGAATTCTTTATACTACTTTTGCACCTTGATGTAAATTTAAAATTGTTTCAATTAAGAAGTTTAAAAGATTTTAGAGAAAAAAAAACTATGCACATGTATTACTTTGATAAATATAAGAGTTCCTGCCCTGGCCTGTGTGGTTCAGTGGCTAGAGCATCGACCAGTGCATGGAAGGGTCATGATTGGATTCCCAGTCAAGGGCACATACCTGGGTTGCAGGATCGATCTCCCCAGGTTGGGGCGTGTGTGGGAGGCAACCAATCAATGTATCTCATGTGGATAATATTCTCTCTCTCTCCCCTCCCCCTTCTCCTCCCTTCCACTATCTCTAAAAAAAAAATAAATGGAAAAAATACCCTCAGGTGAGGATTAATGAATGGATGGATGGATGGATGTTCCTTGTAGGGAAGGAGAAGAAGAGGCTTTGGCTTTATCTATAGTGTTTTATTTCTAAGATAGAGGAGAAGAAAAACAGATGTTAAAGTGGTTAATTCTGGTAGGACTATGAGTATTTGTTTTTTGGGGTTGTGTTTTTTATTTTAAGTTTTAAAATTTATCAACACTCCCTTCCCCAAATCCCAACAGTTTCCTATATAGATGGTTTTCAGACCATTTATGGTTCTGTGCACCTTCCTTGAAATGCTCTCAACTTTGTCAGTGTCCATTTAAATAAGCCAATATACAAAATGTGTTTCCAATCTAGTACAAAAATATATTGGAACCAATACTTTTGTGACCTGGATAAACTCTTGGTAATATAGCTGAAGGTGTTTTTAGCTGCTACATTGCATAGGCAGTTCTTGCTACATATGTGATTAACCAAAATTCCCAGATATTATTCATATGACCTGCTGCCCAACCAGCTCCTCCTCATACTGTTCTTGAGCATTTGAGATTTTGAATTAAATTTAATTTCAATTTGAGCCCATGATTTCATCCCATGAATATAAGTTTTTGAAAATATATTTTTATTGATTTCAGAGAGTAAGGGAAAGAAAGAGAGATAGAAACATAAATGATGAGAGAGAATCATTGATCAGCTGCCTCCTGCATGCCCCTTACTGGGGATCGAGCCCATAACCCAGGTATGTGCCCTGACTGAGAATCTAACTGTGACCTCCTGGTTCATAGGTCAACGCTCAACCACTGAGCCACACCGGTCAGGCTATAGATATAATTTTTAAGGCTTTATTCATCTGTCATATTAACTACTCTTGCAGCTTTGCAAATTATATATCTGATTAATATGATTTTTTAAAATTTCTACTCTATGCAAAGTCCAAAGATAATCCACCAGAGAGTTTCCTGGTGAAATTAAGAGTCTAAGTGGGTACAATTATTCAATTTTTTACACATTCATTTAATCAACCAAATCATATCTAATTACATATTAGCCACAATTGTATCATGAAAGAATATGAAACAGTAGGATTATATCTATAACTAGATCTACTAACCTCATAATTCTAAATAGTAGTATAGGATTCAAGAATAGAAACAGAAGGAATTTGTTATAAATCAACCCATGCTTTTTTTTAAAGATATTTTTTAAAAATATATTTTAAGCCCTAACCAGTTTGGCTCAGTGGATAGAGCGTCAGCCTTCGGACTGAAGGGTCCCAGGTTCGATTCCGGTCAAGGGCATGTACCTTGGTTGCGGGCACATCTCCAGTAGGGGGTGTGCAGGAGGCAGTTGATCGACGTTTCTCTCTCACCGATATTCCTAACTCTCTATCCCTCTTCCTTCCTCTCTGTAAAAAATCAATAAAATATATATTTAAAAAATAAAAAATATATATTTTAAAAATATTTTTATTGATTTCAGAGAGGAAGGGAGAGGGAAAGAGAGAGAGAAACATCAATGATGAGAGAGAATCATGGACCAGCTGCCTCTTGCATGCCCCACACTGTGGATCAAGCCCGCAACCTGGGTATGTGCCCCGACTGGGAATCGAACTGGGACCTCCTGGTTCCTAGGTCGACCACTGAGCCATGTGGGCCTAGCTTTATTGAATTTTTAGAGGGGGAGGCAGGGAGAGATAGGGAGAGAAACATCGATGTTAGAGAAACAGGTATCAGTTGCCTCCTGTAAGCACCCGACTAGAGATCAAACCCACAACCTGGGTATGTGCCCTGACCAGGGATCAAACCAGCAACCTTTCAGTGCACAGGACAGTGTTCGACCAACTGAGCCACACCAGCCAGGGTCCATGCTAACTTTTTGTTTAATACTCCATATCAACTGATTTTGCCCATTTGTAACTGAATTTTCCCAGGAATTAATATCAATTTTCACAGGTTTGTAGTTTTCCAACTACTTTCCTCACTTTGTACATCAGAACATTTGCCTCTCTCTGGTTTCTATGATTTATGATTAACAACAGTGGCTCTGAGATCATTAGCTAATTAATTCAGCACTCTGAAATTCAATTGAGCCTTAAGACTTAAATTCATTTTTAAATGTTCAGTCTTACCATAGTGGGCTACAATTTCTAGTTTACAAGTTGCTAATTACTTTCTAGTTTGAAAACTATTGTTCTTGCTGCTAATAATAATCTACATAGTACTTTTTTTTCTCCGTAAGGTCATGATGTTATTGTCTCACATTTTTTTCTAGAAGCTTTATTATTTTAAAATTCATGTTTTAAATCCATAATCCTTCAAGAATTCTTTGTTGTATATACATAATACTTATTTTTTTAAAGAACTAATTGGTCGACTGCTTCCTGCATGCCCCACACTGGGGATTGAGCCCGCAACTCCGGCATGTGCCCTGAGCGGGAATCGAACTTCGACCTCCTGGTTCATGGGTTGACGCTCAACCACTGAGGCACACTGGCTGGGCTAAAGAACTTTATAATTTCTTAAAAATCCTATAAATAGGTTAGATAAAAATTAATATACCACTATCCCATTTTATATATAAGGAAACTGAAGCACAGAGACATTAAAATTATTTGCCCAAGTCAAAGAGCTACAATTAACCAGAATCTCCTATTGCAGTCTAGGGCTCTTTTCATAAGCCATGCAGATCTCTAATACAAAACTACTATTGCCCTAGCTCCGTGGTCAGCAAACTGTGGCTCTTTGGCCCCTTGAGTGTGGCTCTTCCTAAGCCTTAGGAGTACCCTAATTAAGTTAATAACAATGTACCTACCTATATAGTTTAAGTTTAAAAAATTTGGCTCTCAAAAGAAATTTCAATTGTTGTACTGTTGATATTTGGCTCTATTGACTAATGAGTTTGCCGACCACTGCCCTAGCTGGTTTGGCTCAGTGGATAGAGCTTTGGCCTGAAGACTGAAGGGTCCTGGGTTCTATTTCAGTCAAGGGCACATGCCTGGGTTGTGGGCTCGACCCCCAGTAGGGGACCTGCAGGAGGCAGTTAATCAATGATTCTCTCACATCACTGATGTTTCTATCACTCTCTTCCCTCTCCCTCCCTCTCTGAAATCAATAAAAATATATTTTTTTTAAAAATACTGAAGATTGCACATAAAATTTCTCGCTTAAAAACTGATTTTTCCAAGCCCTGGCTGATGTGGCTCAGTTGGTCAGACGTTGCCTACACATGGAAAGTTTGCCAGTTTCTATTCCCAGTCAGGGCACATGCCTGGGTTGTGGGCTCTATTCCCGGTAGGGGGCATACAGGAGGCAGCCAATCAATGTTTCACTCTCACATTGATGTTTTTCCCTCTCCCTTCCTCTCTCTCTCTAAAAAAAATGTAATAAAAATCTATTTTTAAATTGATTTTTCGATTAGGGGTTAATAGGGGTTAAGAGGGGGTAAGGTACAAAAGAAATAGGTATGGCTATAAAAGAGCAATAACATAGATCCTGTGAAGAAAATATTCTTTACCTTCACTGTATCAATGTCAATATCTTGGTTGTAATATTGCACTTCAGTTTTGCAGGACGTTACCACTGGGGAAACTGGGAAAGGCATACATCAGATCTCTCTAATTCCATGTGAATCTAGAATTACTTCAAAATAAATGTTTAAAAAAAATAAAATGGATATTTCTTTTTAAAACCAACTCATTTAAAAGAGACTTACTTAAAGTGAATAATTTAGGTAAGTTAATACAAAACAAAACAAAATAGAATCATGCATAGGGCTCTGAAATTCAGTACAGTGAACTTCAAAAGTGGAATAAGTCCCGTCAACCAAAGCTCAAAAAAAAGCCATAAATATCCTTGGAAATTGAAAAAGAGCCCCCGGGATTCTTTTTTTTTTTTAATTGATTGATTGCTTTGAGAGAGACAGAGGATAGAGAGAGAGAGAGAGAAAGAGAAACATCAATTGTTGTTCTACTTATTTATACATTCATTGGTTGATTCTTTTATGTGCTCTGACCAGGGATGAAACGTGCAACCTTGACATATCGGGCAACACTCTAACCAACTGAGCTACCTGGACAGGGCAAGCCCTCAAGATTCTTATTTTCCAAAGCAGCAAAACCAAACAAGACAATATAGAAAACAAATTATTAAGTCACCTCAAAAAGAATCACTGGAATAAAGTTAGAACCACCAAAGCTTTTCTCAACCCACCACACACTTCACTGCAATCCTCAACTGAGAGAAAGACTGAATGTGCATGTGTGTCACCTTCAACCCGATATTCACAGTCACACATTCTGAGTCCCAAAATAGCTTCCATATTCTTGCTACTCACAAAGTACCTGAAGCTTCAACCATTTCCTGCTTCTCCCAGCTGCAGGACTTGCAATTAGGAAAACATTCACTCAGCGTCTGGAGCAGGTCTGGCTAGAAGGATGAGCTCATTCCTCAGACGTGCACCTGATCCTCAGGGAGGTGCTCCTCCTCCAGCAAGCAGGTTTCTGTATGTTTAAAGTGACACCCACAACCTGTGCAACCACTTGTCCAGAGCCAGACAAGTCCTTCCCTATCCACGCCTAGTGCCATAGAATCATTTCCTGCTCTAGCCACTTCACGCAGCCACCAAGTTCAGGCAGCAGTGGCTGCAGCAGCAGCAGCTGCTTCTATTATAACGTCACTAGAGAAGGATTTCATTTTCAGCTGTAATAGAGCTCAGATTCTTCACCAATATCCTGTGAACATCCCACGGTTTGTTCCAAAAGGTCTTGCCCAGAGTCAGACCTCACCAGAATCATCCCCTTTTTTAGAATTTACATCTCATTTTCCTGAACCAGGAACATAATGCTTCCCCATCTCTCTTATTCTGTTTGTCCTGTCTATAAGTCTCAATTAACTCAGCCAGCTAAATGTGCCGTATGTAGTTAGAGCTAACTCCTGCAAACTCAAGTTTGCCTCAGTTTCACTACTTCTAAGGAAACATTTACTCTGCCATAGTGGTCTATTTATTGGTAAAGCACATAATAATCCTAATCCAAAAGATATGCAGACTACCAAACAGTCATTCAACAAGTATTTTTGTGCACCTATTATATACAACCATCTCTGATAGGGTGCTGACAAGTATTTTTGTGCACCTATTATATACAACCATCTCTGATAGGGTGCTGATCTGAGTTTTAAACTAAAATAAATTCTGTGGTGTTTTTACTTCTTTCATGATAAGCTTCTCCGCCAACCACCGGTTGGAGATCGCTGCTCCAAAGGTTTCCTTAACCAGCGGTCGCCAACCTTTCAGACCTCATGGACCACCAGTGGTCAGCGGACCACCAGTTGGCGACCGCTGGACTAAGGAGTATAAACTAGCCAGAGAAACATCAGATTCATTAGTGGTTTTCTTTGAGAGATGGCAAGGGACTTGCAATCAAGAAGGGGAAACCTTCCCTGGCTGGTTTTGCTCAGTGGTTAGAGTGCTGGCCCACAGACCAAAGGGTCATGAGTCATGAATTTGATCCCTGGTCAAGGGCATGTACCATGGTTGTGAGGCAACCAATTAATGTGTCTCTCTCACATCGATGTCTCTCTCTCTCTCTTTCTCTCTCTCTCTCTCTCTCTCTCTCTCTCTCTCTTTTTCTCTCTCTCTCCTCCTCCTCTCTACTCTCTCTAAAAAAAAAAATTCAATGGAAAAAATATTCTCAGGTGAGGATTAAAAAAAAAAAAGGGGGAAACCTGCCTTCGCCAGGTGGCTCAGTTGGCTAGAGCATCATCCTGTGAACAAAAAGACTGTGGGTTAGCCCTAACTGGTTTGGCTCAGTGGATAGAGCGTCGGCCTGCGGACTCAAGGGTCCCAGGTTCGATCCCGGTCAAGGGCATGTAGCTTGGTTGCGGGCCCATCCCCAGTGGGGGGTGTGCAGGAGGCAGCTGATCGATGGTTGCGGGCCCATCCCCAGTGGGGCGTGTGCAGGAGGCAGCTGATCGATGTTTCTAACTCTCTATCCCTCTCCCTTCCTCTCTGTAAAAAATCAATAAAATATATTAAATATAAATTTTAAAAAAGACTTTGGGTTTGATTCCCGGTCAAGGCACATACCTAGGTTTCAGGTTCAGTCCCCTGTTGGAGCACGTACAGAAGACAACTGATGGATTTTCTCTCTCATGTTAATGTTTCTCTCTCTCTCCCTTCCTTTCTCTAAAAAAATCAAACATATCCTCAGGTGAGGATTAAAAAAAAAGAAGAAGAAGGGGAAATGTAAGAGCTTTCAACTAATTTAGTAATGTTTAGTTTCCTGGATAATGAATATAAGAAAGCTTACTGTATTATTCTTTTTAAATGTCTTAAATAATAATAAAATTTTTAAAAAAGAGAGAACTGTGCATCAAAGACACAACCAACAGAGTGAGAAGGCAACTCACAGAATGGGAGAAAATATTTATCAATAATTTGTCTGATAAGGAGTTAATATCCAGAACATATAAAGAATTCCAACAACTTACCATCAATCAATTCAAAAGTGCACAAAGGGCCCTGGCCAGTTTGGCTCAATGGATAGAGCGTCGGACCAGGGACTGAAAGGTTGTGGGTTCAATTCCAGACAAAGGCATGTACATCTATTGCAGACTAGATCCCCAGCCCTGGTTGGGGTATGTGCAGGAGGCAACCAATTGATGTGTCTCTCTTACATCGATGTTTCTCCAAAGAAGATATACAAATGGCCGATAAGCACATGTAAAGATGCTCAGCATCACAAGTCATTAGGGAAATACAAATCAAAACCACAATGAGATACTATCTTATATCCAATAGAAAATAACAATTGTTGATGAGGATGTGGAGAAATTGAAACACTTGTATACTGCTAGTGGGAATGTAAAATGGGTTAGCCACTATGGGAAATGGTATAGCAATGCCTCAAAAATTTAAAATAAGATCCAGCAATTCCACTCTGGTTATATATCCAAAAGAATTGAAAGCAGGGTATCAAAGAGATCAGTGTACACCCGTGTTCCTAGCAGCATTATTTATAACAGCTAGAAGATGGAAGCAATCCAAGTGAATGGATAAGCAAAATGTGATATGTGTGTGTGTACAGTGAAATATTATTCAGCCTTAAAAAGGAAAGAAATTATGACACATACTAAAACATGGATGAACCTGGAGGACATTATGCTAAATAAAATAAGCCATGCACAAAAGGACACTCTATGATTCCATTTATATCAGATACCTAGAATAGTCACATTCAGAGACAGACAGTAGGATGGTGGTTGCCAGTGACTCGGGGGAGAGGAGTAGGGAGCATTTTTTAATGGGTATAGAATTTCAGTTTTGCAAGATAAAAACTGTACAACGTGAATGTATTTAATATTACTGAACTGCACATTTAAAAATGGTGCCCAGCCCTACCCTAGCTGGTTTGGCTTGGTGGATAGAGCGTCAGCCTGCGGACTGAAGGGTCCCAGGTTCGATTCCAGCCAAGGGCACATGCCTGGGTTGTGGGCTTTATCCTCAGTGGGGGATGTGCAAGAGGCAACCAATCAATGATTCTCTCATCATTGATGTTTCTATCTCTTTCCCTCTCCCTTCCTCTCTGAAATCAAAAAAGATATATATATATTTTTTAAATGGTGCCCAGCCAGTGTAGCTCAGCGACTGAGCATCAACCTATGAACCAGGAGGTCGAGATTCGATTCCCAGTCAGGGCATATGTCGTTTGCGGGCTTGATCCCCAGTATAGGGCGTGCAGGAGGCAACTGATGAATGATTCTCTCTCATCATTGCTGTTTCTATCTCTCTCTCCCTTCCCTTCCTCTCTAAAATCAATTTAAAAATATATTTTTAAAAAATGACTAAGGTGGTAACTTTTATGTTGTGTATTTTACCACAATTTTAAAAATACAGAGAACTAATCAAAACAGTTCTTGCTTAGCCTGATCAACATTAGATATTAAGTAAGAAAAACTCTAAATTCAGTTTCAAACATTCTGCTGCTTTTCTCCTCTTTGAAAAATCGAGTCAAACATTATTTGTTGAGAAAGACTCGTGTGCTATAGGCAATAGGCAAATTCATTACTCTGATCAGTTTCATACAAATGAAGAACCTAATATACTGGCAGCAGCTAATGTACTCCTAGAGAAGTAGAAAGTAAATATTATCACTAAGTTTTGCTGCGGGAAAAATGCTTAGCCTAAATAATAGTCCCCAAATATTAAGAATGGTAGCTTAGAAATAAAATAGTTATTATTTGTTATCTGCTTTACAAAGTTTGAAATCTGCATTAAATTGTATAAGCCCCATTCCTAAGGCTTACTCAGAAAGGGTGGAGATGAGAAAACTATAATTAAAAAACTAAGAAATAATCCTTCAAAGGAAGAAGTGTGCTTCATTGGGTTGTTGTATGGATTAAATGGGTTATTTCATGCGAAGCATTGTAACACAGTGGTTGGCACAAGGTATTGCTCAACAAAACATTCAAACTTTTTCCATACAATTTTCTTATGTCTCCATATTTCCCCTTAAACCAGCATAATCTATATTAGTTTGACTATTTTAACACAAACATGAACAATATTTGAAATAACTATATACAGTTCACAGTATTTTTAAATCACTATCATTTATTATTTAAAACAGTTGAATAAAGAAAAAATAAAACTAAAATTTGAATGCCTACTACATGATAGCTACTGTGCTAAGAATTAACATCTATTATTTCACCTAATTTGTTCCAGTAGTATAATCCTAATTTAATAGATAAGGGAGCTGAGGTTGAGAAATATTTAGTAATTTGCTCAACTTTCCCAATACAGTATTACATTGAAGGGCTGAGATTTTAATTCTGTCTGACTCCAAAACTCACTCTTATCACTAAAACTATCTTAAGCCCTGTGAGAGATAATTTCTCATTCTTTTGTTCAATTATTCATTCACTGACTCTTTCATTTAACCAAACAATTCAATACTGCCAGGCATATTGTACTAAGCTAGTGATATAAAAATGTATAAAACAGCCACTGCCCTTCATAGCCTAGAGGGTGTATGTGTCTGAGAAGGAGAGCGAAGGATGTTGCAACTGAATAAAGAGCTCAATAATAGTAGAATAAGCAGGAAACATGGAGAGTGAATACTAGGTTAGAGAATCTGAAAAATCATTGCAGAAAAATTACCATTTCAACTGAAATTTTTAAAATATATGGTTACAACTTGATAAAAGGCATCTACACAAAAACCTAAGCTAATATTACACTTAATGGTGATATACTAAATGTATTGCCCCCCCTCTCCCTCCCAAAGGTAAGGAACAAAGCAAGGATGTCTGCTCTCACTATTCTATTCAACCACAATATTGGAAGTTCTAAGCACTGTAATAGGCAAGAAAGAGAAATAAAAGGCATACAGATTGGAAAGGGAGAAATATAACTATCTCTATTTGCAAATGATATGTTTGTCTACATGGAAAATCCCAAGAAATCTATTTTAAAAACTCCTAGAATTAATAACAATAAGGTTGCAGGAAATGTAATATATTTTATGATATAGCATACAGTTTAGAATTTGCTTTAATATTTTATAATGTTCTAAATTCTTTCTTTCTTTTTAGTCTTGTCAACTACTATGTAAACTCCTCAGGGCCAAAACTTGTTTCAAGAGTCTGTGTTCATATATTGTGCTTTATTACATTGTAATTATTTGTTTCTCTGTCACTCTCCCTTCCTAGGCTCTGGACAATTTCAAGACAGGGAGCAAGGATTACTTGCATTGAATCCTGAAGGTTTAGTAATCAAACACAAAACAGGTCTCAATAAATGTTTGTGGAATGGATAAATGAATTAATCTCCACTCCATGCCCCACCTTGCAATGCCTTATACACAGTACTCGACACATAAAAAGAACCCAGTAAAGCTTGTTAATGGATTCATGTAGAAATCTTTTGGACCCAACCACATAAGCTTTCTCTTGCCTCAGAAAAGCACTTTAAAGTTTAGCTACTAACACTACAAATTAAAAGTTTTAGTCTAACACATATCAAATAAATAGGTTCAATGACTAGCCACATCGAGGCTAGCTCTAGGATTTAAAAGCCATCATTCTAATTAATGAATTTGTCAACCTCAACGTGGAAAAATCCAGTTACATCATCAAAAGAGAGGTTATCCCTTGCAACTTTATACCTACAAAAGATAGTGAGTAAAAATATCAGAAAGCTGTATCTGTAGATTGAAATCATCTTTGTGACTTCATTAGACTTCATTGTTTTCACTAGAAATACAAGTTAACCAGAAAAGCAGTGCAAACCTGTTTCCAGAAAACAGTCCTGGAGACTCAGAGACTAATGTTTTGCCCTCTCCATTCTTTTCACTCCTGGGAGAGTCCTTTGACAGATATTCAAAACATGTGCAGTCTTCTAAGATAAAAATCTCACCCATTTCTTAAAAGGCACATAACCTGAATACGCACACTTAGGGAACACTAGGTTTTATAGCCAAGTAACTAAAACTATCCCCAGCGTTCAGCCTGGTGCTGCGGCAATAAAAGCACTGTTCGGAGTTTTTCAATTACCTTCGTGGAAGGCTTCCGTGTCGTACTGCACATTCTTTCACTGTATCATCTAACCTGCTTTTGCACTGCATAAATAATTTAATAAATGCGCCGTAAAGGATCCTACACTTGAATGAATCTGGGAAGAAAGGTGATCTTAGCACACACCCTCTTCTTCCAACTCGGTACGCTCTAAAAGAAGAACATCTGAGTTTTTTTCTTTTTTTCTCAAAAATCTATCTCCGGATCCCACTCCACACTTTATTTGGGAGCAGCAATCATTCATTAGCCCACGCAGTCTCTCTACAGACTACATACTAGCTCGCCTCCTTTCACATCTCAGAGTCCGCGGGAATTTCTGTGGAAGGGGCGGGGGGACGGAGAGGTCCGGGACGCCACCATTCCCGCCAAGCCATTTAGGACCTCGGTCCTGGCGCGTTACACACACACACACACACACGCCAGGGCAAAGCAAAACGGGCCCAACCTCTATACTCCCATTCAACATACCCTCCTCCGGGCTGTACCCCAGTTCTGCCCACTGATTCCTCAATGGAGTCCGGTCCCTGGGTCCAGTTCTCAGTCCCCGGAACCGTGCTACTCCCGCCACACACAAGCGTTCACGCTCTGGTCCCTGCTCCTTGAACCCTACTACACCCCGGTCCCTCCCTCTGGACTTCCCAGGGATCAGCCCTCCCCGTGTGCCCTAGTGCGGACCGGCGCCCGGTCCCTGGACCCACTGGACCCGGATCCTTCCCTGAACGTCACACTCGCGTCCACTCCTCCCGCGACCCGACCTCCCTCATCGCCCCCCAAGCTCTGTCCCCCCTGCGCCCCATTACCTCCAGCCCCGCCCCCCTGAGGGTGTCGCACTCACAGCTCCTGCCGCCGCATCCTGAACCGCCGCGGCTGCTATAGCTACAGGGAGCCAAGGCAACCAGCTCTCGCGACACTTCCCGCCACGACGGCGAGAACCACCGCGAGGAGCCTCTCGCAGGAAAGTAAATGAGTCAGACTCCGGGCCGCTGAGTAGGTCTCGCGATAGTTCCTGTAAAATGGCGGCCGCGAGCCGTTTCAGGGATGGCGTGCCAGGGTCTGAAGGTGGGCGAGAGCGAGGGAGAGCCTTGAGCTGGCGGGAAAGTCGGGGAACGATCGCAGGCAGGAGGGTCTGGGCTGCGGGGCGTTAGTATAGGGAGCCCCCACCCCGGGATAGCTTTCCCAAGGGCCTCGCACTTGGAGCAGCGTCGCCTTTAGCTGAAGTTTCCTTCTGCAGGCCGCTGTAGAGCGGGGACGAGCCGGGCAGAAACCGACCGTCCCATCCATCTCCTCGTGTCCTTCCTTCAGGAAGTTTCCATCCGCTGTTCCCCTGCGCAGGTTTGCAAACGGTGTTTGGTGCCACAGAAATGTTTATGTTTACCCACGAGGGCCACACCCCCATCAGTTAGCCCGACCAAAATAGGGAATAAACGTGTGTGTTATTTAATGGGACGGAAACGCGGAGGTTTGAATGCGGAAGGGGACCGCATTGTTGTGTGGTTTCAACTTTGCCCTGGTTGCTGGCTGCCCGGTGGACACATCCTTACTGCGTGACTCAACGCTTAGTTGCAGGGCGTTGTCTCTCTGCTCAGACAACTTTAAATGCAGACCGAGCAGCATCTGGGAACAGAGGGTGAACCTAACGTTGGCCAACAAGGAAGAATAAAACGGAGGGGAATAATAAGGAAATAGAAATAATAAATGGAGAATTCATTTTTTTCTCTTAAAGCTCCTGAATAGCTCTCATGGTCTAGACCAGTGCTAGCCAGTAGACATATATTGTGCAATTTAAAACCTCTAATAGCTACATTTCTTAAAAATATATTTTTATTGATTTTAGAGAAGAAGGGAGAGGGTTAGAAACATCAATGATGAGAGAGAATCACTGATCGGCCGCCTCCTGCACATTCCCTGCTGGGGATCGAGCCTGCAACCCAGGCTTGTGCCCTTGACTGGAATCAAACCTGGGACCCTTCAGTCCGCAGGCCGATGCTCTATCTACTGAACCAAACCGGCTGGGGCATTATAGCTACATTTTTTAAAGTAATACATAGGAAATTATTTTTAACCCAACATATTCAAAATATTTCAGCATGTAATCAACATCTTAATTATTAATTAGATAATTAATGGCTGGTGACAATAATATTAGACAGCAAAGCTCCAGACCCTCATCTAGAGAATGAGCTGCTCTCTGGGTGATTTTAGGGGCACAGTGTTATGGGCGTGTGGTTTATGTAAAAGAATCCCTTGAAGGTGCTCACTCCAATGGCTGCAAAGGCTAGGAAGTTACAATAGAAGATGGCCTGGTGTAAAACAATAGGTAGGAGTGGGGACTAGGACCCACGGGAGAGCACAAGCTCATATCTAAAAGGGAACTCTCTTGAGCTCCTGAATTGAAAACGCTCCTGAGTTTTAAACCAAGTGATGGCAAACAGAAGATGTGTATGAACAGTATAGACAGTTCTGCTGCCAACGGGTGACATCTGTGAACTGTGGCATTCAAATGTATGAAACATTTGTGAAGAAAGGTGGTTTTAACAGAAGAGTAATTTCCAAGCACATGGATGGCAAAGCTTAAGGATTTGACTGGATTTCTGGCTGGATCTTGTACAAGTGTGCACTTTAAGGCATTAGACCACCATTGCAATAATTTCACTTTCAAGTAGACTTTTCTACTAAGGAAATAGTTTCACAACCAACCTGGGCTCCCTGTGAATTAGTAAACCTGAGAATATGATGAAAGCTATGACCCTTATCCAGATCCTGTCAAACCCATATTCCCTCAGTCCACCTCAGAGTTTACTACAGCTTTGGTAGACAGATCTTGTACAAGCCCATAGCTTCCTACCTCAAACACCTTTGTCTGCAATTGCCAGCAGAGTTAACATTCCTAATAGCAATCTGCAACCAATGAGAGATGAGATTTGGAGGCTAAAAACTCTAGTTCCCTATGCCCTCAATGGGGCAATTCTGAGGTATGATCTCTAATGTTTCTCAAAATTTACTAACACATAGGAGTCACCTCGAGAGCTTAGTAAGCCATCGATTCTTGAGTTTGTACTTTTAACCAAGCTCCCAAGAGATAATCATGCTGCTAAGACATGGACCACAATTTGAATAGTATCATTCTGAGTCCCCAGTGGGATTCAGTCCTAATTGCCCAGAACATCCTTTTTGGCTTTCTTCTCACTCCCTTACACTTCTTGGATTCTGGGATCACCTCTCAAATTAGCTGCTTGCATCCAGATTTTTGTTTCAGGGTCTGTTTGGAGAGAAATCAAGTTATAACAACACTCTCCTTAGAAAAACGCACACGGAAATAGAGCTTTGTGTACAACTTTACAGAAAGAATCCCTGGAAGTCATTTAGGCTGTAAAGGAAAGTGCCAGGGTAAATGTCATGTGACCCAAGGGCCATGAAAATTGAATCAGTCTAAGTAGAGTCTAGCAACTTAATATAATCTTTAATAGCTCGAGAAGTTGGCTGATTTCAACCAGCTCTCAGAATTTATTTTTCCAGAACCTATTAAGTCCTTTCTTTATTCTTCCTGGTTTGCATCACTCTTACTTGATGGAACATAGTAGTAAGTCCTGGGATTCTAAAGACACCCCATGCTTGAAATCAATAAGAAGAGTAATGTTAATAGTCACAGGGATGTAAAGTACAGAATAGGGAATATAGTCAATAATATTGTAATAGCTATGTATGGTACCAGGTGGGTCCTAGAAATATTGGGGGGAGCGCTTTGTGAAGTATAGGAGTGTCTAACCACTATGCTGTACACCTGGAACTAATACAAAATAATGTTGAATGTAAACTGTAATTGAAAAAAAGTAAAGTCTGTTTAATCATGCCGAGAGAGAGAGAGAGAGAGAGAGAGAGAGAGAGAGAATATGAACGAACTGTTACTTATTCCTATTGGCTCTCATTGTTTCTTCCCAGTCATAGTACTTTCTGGACACCACTGCCGTGCCCCTGTGACCATTAGTTCTTTTCTTGCTGTGTTCATTCAGAGCCAGGCATATCATAACTACAGCTGGTTTCTCCCACTTCCTTCTATTGTTAATCCTCACCCAAGGATATTTTTCCATTGATTTTTTTAAATAGAGTGGAAGGGAGAGGGAGAGACAGAGAGAAACATCGATGTGAGAAAGACACATCGATTGGTTGCCTTCTGTACGCACCCAACCAGTGCCGGGAAACCTGCAACCAAGGTACGTGCCCTTGACTGGACTCAAACCCGGACGCTTCAGTCTGTGGCCGATGCTCTAGCCACTGAGCCAGACTGACTAGGGCTCTCCCACTTCCTTCTGGATTCCAACATGACTCCCTATTCCATCTCATCCTTTCGGGAATCTATAACCTTTAACACATATATTACTAAGCCCACTCTGGTGTCATCTGGAAACTTTGTGGCATGTTCTAGTTCTGTAATATTTGGATAATCCTTATTATCCCAAATCCTAATTAGCAACATAAGGAAATCTAACAGCAGGGTCACCGACACCTATTTCCTAACCATAGCATAAAGTAGCTTCTTAGCTGTGCCCACATGTAGGCTGGCACATGTGTTTGTACATTATTTGCCTTATGTACTATTAAATAAGTATGTTTCCGTATACATCTATGAATGTGGTTTCATGAGTGTGGGTGTAGGTGTGTAAGGAACCAGAGCTCAGATTTGGTCTTGAAATTTAAATAGTGAATGTTCAGTATTTGACTTTAATTAGTCTCTTTGCATTGTTTTCATCTGCCCTCAAATATCAGAGGAAAAATTAGTGCGTTTCCTTGACGTTTATTGACTGTTACCGGTGGCAGAGCAAATTCCATAAAAGAGCAGGTTTCCATACAGAGCAGGTGGAAAGAGAGCTCTGAGTTGGTGAGGAAGGATGCTCGGAGTGGGAACTCAGAGTGAAGGATGGAATGGCAGATTTATCCCTCCTTTTCCCTCCATTCCCAAAAGGAATGAGGGTGGGGTATCCTGCTCAGCATTCCCTCTCCAAGTTGGAGTCAGAGAGGGGAAACTTGATGCAAAGTAGAGGAGGAAACACCTCACAGCTCCTCTGTTTCTCCATCCAAGGGGATGCCGATATCCACATTGTAGTCTACAGGCTCCCCGGAGCTCAGCCAGGGAATAGGGGTTCGATTGAAAGAAGGCCTGTTGGAGAGGCTCTGGTTGTAGAGGACCAAGGGTTCACTCAGCAGGGGCCCCAGGTCAAACTTGGGCATCTGGAAGGTCATGCGTTTGGATGCCTTCTCATATCCACCATAAGGCATTGCTGTCCTGAAAAAGGGATATATTATTTCATTAAAAACCAGAATAAAAGGGACAGAGTTTTATCAGTGAGATGTTACTCTGTTTTTAAGATAGGAAAGTCTGTGAATTTTAGTTGCAGATTGCTTCTGCACGCCTATTGTTCTCCATTAGCATTCCCATCCCCTTTCCTGGTTTCCCAGCATTTTAGAGAAAGTAACCCCAAACATTATAGACCCAACTGTCTGAGACCACCTTAAATTTCAACATAGAATCCCTACCCTGACTCCAGTGGATAGTGTATAGTCTGGGTGAGAGGAATGAACATTTCCTGGGAAATCCAGTCTCCTTAGGACCAAATGAAAAAGCACTTTTCTAACACTTCCCTATCCTGCTTTCACACAGATCTACTGTGCATGGTCTAGAGAAGCCCAATTTCAAAAGAACAGTTAAGCTTTACTAAAGTAGGGTATAAAGGACCAGAATCCTACTGCAGGAACAGTAATGGAACCTAACTTTGAGTAAAGGGAGCCTCATTAGGACTTTAAATGTATAATATAGTATTTATAGTTAAAGCAACCAAGGCCAGAAGTAGGGTGACTTTCCCATGCCCACACAGCTAATAAATGGCCTATGAACTAAAATTCAAATCCTGCCTCCCAGCAATTTTTTTTTTTTTAATCATAGTTTGCTGTTTCTCTGAGCTAGGGCAAAAAGAGCGAAGACCTTCAATTAGATCCCCCATATTCCTCTCTTGCCTCCTGAAACATTTGAACCCAAGTCTTCATCCCAACTAAGGACACATTGCCACACACTGGGGTGCATCTGGTTCCTTCCCCATCACTCCTACCTGTTGAAGGACTTATATTGGGGGAGTTCAGCTTTGGCCCCATAGGCCAACAGGTCAATGCCAAGTTCCACTTTTTGCTGGGGGTCAACTCCCATGGCTCTCTCCCATGGGGAAATATAGGTCTTGAACACAGTGATATGTTTTCCTTCTCCACCTGCCTGGTCTCCTAGCAGCAATGGAAAGAAAAGGAAGTCAAATAATAGCAGTTAGTAGCCAAGGGAAGTTAGTCTCACACCCCTGTGCAAGGGAAGTTGCTGGAGCCAGAGACCAAAGGTATAACATCCTCCTGGTAATTGTGTAAGGT